GAGAGAGAGAGAGAGAGAGAGAGAGAGAGAGAGAGAGAGAGAGAGAGAGAGAGAGAGAGAGAGGTACCTGGAACTGTCGAAGCTCGCATGCACCTTGCAGACAATGCTTCCTCTCGCAGGCTCACTCTTGGAGGCTGAACCGTTGAAGAAAGGGGTGGAAGGAAGACATCCTGGTGCCCCACCCGCTACCATGCGGACCCAGATGCAGATAGAGGAAGCATAATAGTCCATTTCGCCACGCCCATTGCTCTGAGATCTGCAGCCTATCATGGCACCCTCAGACTATGGAAGCAATGTGCCTGCATGTCTTTGACAGTACGCTGTGTAATTGAGGTCATCCGACCTGCTCTCGATCAGCAAGGGAAGCCCTGCGTCTCGCACACAAAAAGGGTGAAACGCAACTCGACAACCCTTGTGTGCACAGGGAATGCAAGCCCCATATACCTCCTTGCACACTACGCATACCCTCTTCCATCGTTCCTGCAATGTGTGCACCACAAAGGGACATCACGTTGAATGTATCAAGGATCGGAAGGCACGGTAAAAATGGAGATTGCCATTGATTGGGCAATCACGGGAACGGTAGAGATCATTCCCCATCTGGCATTGTTGATGGACACAGTAGCACAACAGGATTCGTAGACGCCACAATTGATGTCAAGGCCTTGCCTCAGTTGCAGAAACCCTCTGTGAGAATGTACTTGGATAATCTAAGACCCTTAGATCTACAATCTGTACGGGGACATGAGGACATCAAGCACGTTCTAATTTGAAATTTCAAACCAAGGCACCATTTACTCAAAGGAGGCAGAGGCTGGAAATGTGTCCCTAAAATAGCACAATTGCATCAATTGAGAGAGACACCACTCATCAATGCAGAGTCGCAAACTTCAACGCACCATTTTTCCTCACGATAAAAACGAGCGAGTCACAAAACTGGCTAACTCCATAAGACCTGGTCTACCGGTTTGTAAGAGGGGGAGTTGCTTTGGACCTCCTATCCACAATAGGATAGGTCCAAAGGGTGCAACTGTGTTTAGTTTTCTATTTATCACTTTAACTTCCTGGGCGAATTCGAACGGGAAGTTTGCAACTGCAGTGAACCGGGTTCGAACTCTACCACAGAAGCAAGCATGCTTCTGACGGCTGAGTTAGGTGTTATCGGAAACAGGTTTACTGGGTCCTGAAGTTTGTCAAAATGGGCCTCATTTGATTGCAGTAGAATACAGTGCAGTCCAGGTTTCAGCGAAAGACCTTTCGAAAGCAGTTTCAGAAAGATCACAACAGAGCCATGAAACGAGCTACAACCAGGATAACAATGGTCTGCGGGGCAGAGTTTTTGGACAAAAGTGCGTGTGAAATGGGTCTCAAAAAGTCCTTGCGTCGGTAGCACTGAGGTCAGAGGGAAAATCCAGGTACCCAGGCTATCTAGAAGTCAATAGTGGGCCGTAGGAAAGTCAACAATCAGGCCCCACCGGATCCAGAAGGTTTCACCAGTTGTCAACCATGACCACAGATCACACACAATCATCCAAAGGCTGAGAGTCTGTTCCCGGAAGCATCCAAGTTCTACTAAGTCAAGGCACACTCATGCCACAACAGAATGTGGACCGCTCAGATCAAGCAATCTCAGCCCTCAAGAGGAGGAAACCTGAGGCAGGTGCAGCCGAGCGAACAGCACAGAACACCGACCTGCCTCGTGTGTGTTTTGGATTTCACCACAACAGCCCCTGATCCACCAAAGATGAGTAGAACCAAAAGTTGAAGCAGCCTTAGTCCTATTGCAGACAGCGAAGCACACTTGAGTTGAGGCATCCCAACGACAAAACAATTTTACCTCTATAGCAAGTAACATGGAGCACAATAACTCCATCGAAAATTGAAATCCCTTTCTTGACTATCTTTACTTTCGCTTTCTTTGGGGTATCCCTTTCACTTGTTATTGCCGCTCCCCTTTTACGGTGCCTCTCATGTACAAGGCCTGACATGTTGATTGTGGTTGAGGACCGGCTGCCCACACCCCCGTGTGCCTTAAGGGGCACCATTTGCACGCTATGAAAGGAGGCCAAGGGTGAGGTATACTCCAGTTCATTTTTCTTCAGATCTTCAGCTTATATCTTGTGTGCTCGGTTAATCATGCTCATTCGTATACGCTGAGTAGTTAGTGCACAAAGGGAGGGAGGGAGGGAAGGGGTAGGAGGTGGAGTTGTTAGGGGTTGAGGGGCAGGAGAGGGAAAAAGGGCAGGGGAAAGAGTGGAGTGGTAAAGGACAGAACAGCGATATGACGAACTGCCCGGGGTTTCAAACACTCACCGCTGGAGCAGTCTACTCTAGAATGGCACTCACAAGGGGTCAGTCAGTGTTTGGGTTGCAGAAGATTTGGAATTGAGGAGCAGCTGTTGCCTATGGTAAGTGGCCACTCCTACACAATCCGGACAGAACCGGTTCGAGTGTGGATTGTTGAAACACAGCATCCAATTCTCACAGTTGCGGTTGCTGCATCCAATGGCATGGCGTAGACAGATGTCACAGGCTACGCGGTTCCTATATGCTAGGAACACAGAAGGACACCGACCGCAATTGTAGAGGCATTGCCGTTCCAACCCCTATCCACAAATTGGACATGGCATGTCAGGGTGCCGTGTACGAGTCAGTAACGACTGTCAGCAAACGTATGAAGACAAAAACTCGCATGGACTACCCGTTCATAATCCTCACGGCACAAGGCATGAGGACCACATGCTAGCCGAATCTCAGGTGGGCGATCACAGAGCTGCATTAACCAGGTTTCTTGGGTTTCCCCAGTATTTATTTCCTCTCTATGGGAAGGCGATGACGGGGCTCGATCCAAAGCAAGGGTGTTTAGTTGTGCAGGATTTGGTCTGCAACTCCTTGCCCTGGTGGTGATAACGTCTCAGTAGAGCGCTCCGTAGGTGGTTCATATGGTAGTCTATTTTCCTCCTCAGGCTGCTGCATCCGTCGTTTGTCTGAAAATATGAAGTTGGGACACGCTAGGAGAGGAAGTGGAGAGTGATGGCATCCAGGATAGTCCACGCAGCAGAGACACATACTTTCTATGACAGGTTCCAAGAAACATGACGACACATGGCATGTTGCTGACATGTAAAGGAAAGCAGGTATGTCGCATGGGGATTCAAGGCCATGACGGCATGGGGCAAGTAATTGGGTGGGGGGGGAGGTGATTACAAGACAGAGGGTCACAGTTTTTGCAGCAGATGCTAGCAGTGACCATCCCTTCATAGTGTTGTGTGTGTGTGTATGTGTGTGTGTGTGTGTGTGTGTGTGTGTGTGTGTGTG